ACTATCTACAGTTTTACATTTTCCATGAAAACTTTGTTTTGTTTTAAAATTGAATGGCTTGGGGCAGAACAACTAATCTCAAGGAAGCCTAAGAAAGAAAATCATTTGAAAGAAAAAACCTCTCCCTGCAGCCGGGATTCCCAAACTGAGTTAAGCACTTCTAGGCAGGTGCGTCCCGCCCCCCTCAGACCTCTGAGCACACCCCGCCCTCCGCCCCTCCGCGTCCTCACCTGCCGCCGTGGACACGGCAGGACTGGGGGTGGAAAGAGGCGGGCAGAGAGGCCTGGTCATCCTCGAAAGAGATGTGGTCGCCCAGGAAGTCGGGGCCGGAGAAAAGCTGAATCTGGAAGCAGAGAGGGGAGGAGATGCGGGTGGCGGAGGGTGGTGAAGACGGGGAGAGCTTTGAAATGAGGGGAGAGGAGACGCGTGCTCCCATCAGCTCCCTGCCGAGTCCCCTCCTTACCTTCGAAACAAAGTGCAAGTCGTGCTCCCCGACCTGAGGAGGGACCAAAGTTTCGAGACTTAAAGAGAGTGCCAGCCCCCACCCCAGCTCCTCCGGGTTTCAGCATTGCCCGCCACTGGGCAAAGCCCCCTCGTCCCCGCCCTTTCCCGGGGCCCCGCCCCCTCAGAGCTCTTCAGCCCCGCCCCTTCTGCCGGGGGGCGCGGACCCGACTCCAAGCCCCGCCCCCTCGCGAGAGCCCCGCCCACCGCGGCCCGCACTCACCTGCAGGACCGGCTGCAGCGAGGCGAGGGCGCTGTTGCCCGCGCCCCAGTCGTCGCAGTTTCGGTACACGCCCTTCTCCAGCACGTACTGTTCCCCCGAGAAGCCCACCTCCTGGTAAGCTACCCACCTGCGGGAAGGGCGGGGCGTGAGTCGGCGGAGGCGGAGCCCGCACCGCTCCTGGAACCGCCCGCGGCCCGGCCCTGTCCGCCCAGCTCCCGCAGCCGGCATCACTCACACGCCGCTGAGTACGTGGATGGCCTGCGTGCGGGGTCCGTGTCGCACCAGCTCCACGTCCGGCAACGCCTTGCTCACCTCCACACCGTGCCCCTCGAAGTCCATGGCCTCAAACAGCACCACGGCCGGGTCCCCGAAGTCCTGGGCCCCAGGGACAGTCAGGTCTCTCCCGCCCGCGGACAGAAACCCCTGAGAGAGCCCAGACCCCAGGGTCGCAGCCCACCCGGGGAATTAGGGGTAAGGCTGTCAGTGTAGCCTGGAGAAGAGCAGCAAGAGAGAGAGAGGCTAGACTTCAGGGAGAACTTCCAGGGAGAACAGGAATAAGGGGTACAAATTCTTCCCTGCACAAATTGTACTGGAGGAAATCTGACTGTGGCCAGAGGCAGAGGGATGGCCCAATTGCCCTTGCTTACCGTCCGGATAACCCGCAGGGAAGTCAGCAACTCATCATAGCCTCCCCAGTGTGACCAGTCAGGGTATTCCCCCTCCTCCAGCAGATACTGGTGGCCCCGGAAGCCCTCCTTCTCATAGCCCACCCAGCTGGGGGGAAAGGAGGATAGACAGGCAGATTCAGTCACAGGAAGCCCATGGATGGCTAAGACAGCTGCCCCCACCCCTAGGCATCCCAGGTAGCTCCCCACCCCCAAGGGTAAAGGCCAGTGGGGGAGATGATGTAGAAGGAAGGGTCCTGAGTCCTCACCAGCCCCCTAGAACTCGCAGGGACCCCACGGAGATCAGGTGGGGGCTCTGGCTGTCCTCTGGCTGCTGAAGGTTGTAGATGTCTCTGCTCACTTCCCAGCTGCGGCCCTGAAAGCCTGGGGTCTCATACACCACAGCCTGGGGGAAGGGGGTGTCAGGATGGTGGGGAGTCATCTGGACCCAAACACACCCAGCCAGCCCAGGAATGGCTCTGCCCAGCATCAGGCAAGAGCGCCCCACCACCAGCCCTCCAGCCCGGCACTGAGCCCCATCCCCTTACCTAACTTCTGTCTCTACTCTTACCTCTACATATCAAAAGCCAGTTCCCAGTGAGCCCATCAGGCTCCATGCTCCCAGACCCAGCTTCTGGCCCCCAGCGCCCTCCTCTCTGGCTTTTCAGTCCAGGCCATTCTAGCCACATACTCCGCCCCCAGCACCAAAGGCCCCCTTTGACCTTGAAGCCCAGGCTCTTACCTTGGGCTCCCCTGGCTTCTCCACACTTGGGCAGCCCTGCAGAGGACACAGAGATGTGACACCAGCCCAGAGGTGAGGAAAGATGGGGCTGGGGACCTATGATCTCTTGACTCTGAGACCCCCATGCCTTCCCTCTCCCCAACCCCTTGGGCTAATCCTCCCTCTCCTCCTACCACCATTCCCAGTAGGAGCTCCCAGGGGGTGGTCCCCAAGGGGTGCTGTGTTACATACACTTCATCCCCTCTTTCCCACAGACGGCAGGACCATGCTACTTGGGACCAGGGGCAGAGCCTGGACGTACCCATCTGTGGGTGGGCCCTGCTCTTTACCAATCTCACAGGCTCCAGGGAGCCCACACTGGGGTCCGTTGTGCCCCAGGCCTCTGAGGTGGGGTACTCTCCAGGCTCCAGGACGTAAGGGGTGTCTTCAAAGAATGGTTTGGGGTACAGCAGCCACCTGGGGGAAGGCAGAGAGGCTGCTGCACTCCAGACGTCAAGGGACACAGATTGGTGGAAGGGAGGGGAAGAGGTTTGCAGGGGAGGCTCCCATCACTGGGGACTCTGGAGGACAAGTCAGTCCTCTGTAATCTCTTGCAGTAGCCACTCCATTGGTCTCCCTTCCTCTGGCCTTGCCCTCTCTCATTGCGCCCAGTAGCTGGAGAGCTCTTTCTAGCACAAATACCTGCTTAAAACCTGCAGTAGTTCCCCATTAGCCTCACAATACAGCCCAATGGCACAGCAGCCCTGCCTGGCCCCTTCCTTCCTCCTGGGCCTCATCTCTCCCTGCTTGTTCCTTACACTGGTGAGGCTGAAATTTTCTCACCTCTGTGCCTTTGCATGTGCTGTTCCCTCTGCCAGATACACTCTTTTTCCCCATTCATTCAATTAGCAAATATTTAGGGGCATCTACACTGCCAGACCCTGCTTCAGGCATCAGGCATACAGTTGTGAACAAAACATACAAAATCCCTGTCCTCGTGGAGCTTAGATTCTCAGGCAACTCATCCCAGCTGAGGTGTCTCCTCCTCCAAAAGGGCTTCTCTGACTCCCACACCCTGCCCCCCATCCCCGCTGCCTGTGCTTGGTCCCTTCCATGTATACAGGGACTGTGCTTCTGCACTCTGGATCGCTATTGTCTGTTTACTTGCCTGTCTCCACCAGTAGGCTGAGCACTTTTGAAGGCAAGAGCTGTGTCCTGTCACCTCTGTGTCCCCAGCATAATGAATGTTAAATGAAGGGATTCCAGAATAGCCCAGACTCACAGTCCTGCAGAGACAGTGGCAGAGGCCACCTTCAGGGGCTTCTCCAGGCCCTGGGGGTCCTTCAAGGCCTCTGTTAGCTTCACTTGCTCACCCTGGAGGCCCTCCTCAGAGAACAGGCTGATCTCCGGGATGCCGTAGTCCTGCAGGAGCGGAGGGGAACAAACTATAAAACAGCACCTCTTGGAGACTACCTCTGCTCCCCAAGTCTGTCCAGCCAAGGCTGCAGGGGGCTTCTGGGTAAACCTTTGTGGCCGTCTCTTGAGAAACCAGGAGAGTGACTGGGTGTTCTCTGCAAGGTCAGCCAGCCAAGCCTGAGACCAAAGGTCCCAGGTGAACCTGCAAAGCGCCATGCCCATCCCCATTCCTTTGGGTAGCCTGCCTTACAGCCCGATGACGACATGGGTAAGATGGACAGCGACTTCCTGAGGTCAACCTCTGACCCTTCCTTTTGGTACAATTCCTGCCTCTGTCCGGATTGGCTTTGCCTGCACCGTGTCCCAGGAAGCAGCAGATCCTCTGCATTCTGGGTGTTTCTTCCTCACCAGGACCATTTTCACTCATTCAGTCATTCATGAAGCATCTACTGAGTGCAAGGCACTGTCCTATCCCATCTCCTTTAATCCTGCCCATGGGTGTTATTAATCCATTCACAGACAAGGAAAGTGAGGCTCAGCGAAGTTAAGCAACCTGCCCAAGGTCACACAGCTTGTAAGTAGCAGAACCAAACACAGAGTAGTGTAGTTTTTCTTTCACTGTTGCAACCCAGCACCTCCCGCATACTTGGCACACAACAGGTGCCCAATCAGTGCTGAATGGATCAAATGAATTCCAGACCATCTGACTTCAAAGACTTTGTTTTTCTCTTGTAGCTCGTTACCTCCCACATGAAGATGAATTTATTGTGAGAAGCTCACAATTAACTGTCCACAAACATTCATGTGTTTCTGGAGAGGCTTTGAAAACTCCTGTCCAACTGGGCCACTGCCCTAGTTAAGGCTAATCAGCTCTTGTCATCTCTTAACTAGGAAGATTGCAACAGCTCTGGACTCAGTTATTCATTAAAAGCAAAAAACAAACCAAAAACCCCCAAATGTCTGATAGACCCTGCTTTTAGAGTCACTGCTCTTCCTTCTGGGTCTCCCCAGTGGTGGGGATGGTTTTGTCAAGCTTAATTTCAAAAGTTTGTAAATCTGTGCTGTCAAAACAATGTTGCTGGTTTTTTCACTTTACAAATATGAAATTATAAGGTTGACTTTTGAAACCACACACCCCTCCCTCAAAAATCAGAGGTGCTCCCGGCTGGAAATCATGGCCCTTCCCTGTCTCCCTGCCTCCAGGGTCCCAGTCTTTTCTCCGCCTGGCAGCCAGAGGGATGTCTATAAATCCCCTACTTGGTTAGATGGCGTCCCTGCTTCAGATCCAGCCCTCATAGCCCAGCTTGAATGTAAGTCCTGCAGGGCAGAGAGCAGATCTCACCCCCACCCATTGCCTGGCACAGTGCCTGGCACACAGTAGACATGAGTGAACATCTGTGAGCGAATGAATGAACAGACATGCATGGCACCTGAGGTCTGACTGTGGGCCTGAGAGCTGGCCCTGGGTGGCAGGTGACTCCACATCCTTTGCTGCCCCGTCTCTGCTACTCTCACCTTGTCCTGCTCCAGCACCAGCTCAAACTTCCCCAGGCTGCTTCCCCAAGCTGGGGCTTGGCCTCTGACTGGCCCCTGACTCCCCAAGCCAGGCTGCGCGCTGCCCAGAAGCCCTTTTTCCCCTAGTCAGCTCCAAGGCCAGGAATCTACACGTCAGTCCGTAGTAAGCCCCCCTGCCTCCTACTCCACGTGATCTCTCCCAGACATTCCAACTCTAGGCACTCGAGGCTGTGTGCACCCTCCAGCCCACTCACCCGGACAGCCCTCCTTAAGGAGCCAAAGCCTTGGGTGCCCCACGCCAGCCCCGGGGCTCTGAGTTCCACATCTCCTTCAGGCAGGACCATCTTCCGGCCCCGGAACTCCGGCTCTTCGTACAACACCCAGCTGTGGACACAGAAACCCCAGGTCACAGGTGAGGAGGAGGATGTGCCCAGGGTCTCTGGGTAGCTGACGGGGTTTCTGCCAGGCTGCCCTGGACACTCCTCACTGCCCTCCGCACCCCCAGATTCACAGCCAGGATGCCCACTGGGCACTCCCCACTCACCAGCCTCGCACCACCCTTATGGAGGCTACGTGGGCCCAGCCCGAGGCGTCAGCAACGTCTTCCCAGATCTCCCTGCTGCCACCTTGGCAGCCAGGCTCTGAGAAGAGGATCACCTGAGAAGGCACAGAAGGGATCTCAGGCCTCCCCGCAGGCCCCCGCCTTCTGCTACCCTCACCCACTCGGCCCCACGCCCCTACCTTTCCAGGCCTGGTGTTCAGCTTGCCCTGGGTCTTTAAGGCTGAGTTCTGAAATGGAGGGGATGGCAAGAAGACTTATGGGGTCACCTCTTTGCTGCCTCCCCACACCCTGCCATTCCAAGGATCCCACATGCTCCCTAAGGTGCGGCCCACTGAAGATGCCACTCTTGTTTCCTACCCCCAGGGGCCTCGTCACCCTGTCCCAGGAGCTGGGTGTCCATCACTCCCCTCCCCTCCCCCAGCTTCCAGGATATCAGAACCACCAAGCCCTTTGGAATTCTCAGTGCAAACTTCCCGCTGTCCTGATAGGGAGACTGAGGCCCAGAAAGATGGGGCCTGCACAGCCTCCTGCCCCCAGAGACCCTAACTCTCACCCAGCACCATTCTCACACCACCTAGACCCTTCCTGGTCCACCCGAGGCCTCACTCACCCACCCCTCTGGGGACTGGGAACATGCAGGCCTCTCTGGCGGTGGCCTTTCGCTGCAGAGGAGGGGCAACTGTCCTGGCACCTTCCTGAGCCCTGGTGCTCCGTGGGGTGGCAGAGCAGATAGCTTTGTGCCCAGTGGTTCTGGGGTGGGGTTCTCCTTGGTGGCAGACACCAGACTGCCAAAGAGAAGGCTGCCTCCGAGACGGGAAGCGGGTCTGCTGCCTGCCTGCAGTTCCAGCCCCAGCTCTGGGTGGGCGCCCTTGGCACCTGCCATGTGCTTCTTCATCATCTCCAGAGGAGAGCAAGAGGCCTGGGTGGGTCTGGCGGGGCGCAGGTCCCGGGAGGGGCCGGGCCCAGCTTTCTCCTGCCTGCGCTGGAGCTTCTCGTCGTCACTCAGGTAGGGGTTCTCCGGCTCTTCCTCCTCCTCCTCCCCTTCTTCCTCCTTCTCTTCCAGTGCAGGCACCTCCTGGGGGCTGGGTCCCAGCACCCACGGCCCAGGCTGGTCCTCCTCTATGGCAGGCAGCGTGGCGTACATGGCCAGGTAGGAGGAGCGGGGGGCTCGTGGCAGCCGGTGAGTGCGGAGGATCTCAGGGGGCTCCATGCTCCGCAGGGTATCCAGGAAAATCTCTAGGTCAGCATCCAGGGCCACCTCATCCTCGTCCCTCGATGGCTCTGGACACGTCTTGCCCTCAGTGGGGTCAGGGACAAGCTGGGGCTCCATGCTGGCCTCTGCTTCTGTGGCCACTGGAGTAGGAGTGCCTCCTGGGCTGGGGGACACCTTGTCCACAGAGGGGGATGGGGCAGGGAGAACGGGAGGGTCCTGGAAAACCACTTTCTGGGTGGAAAATGGGGCAGCAGAAGCACCTGAGTGCTGGACATCCCCTTTTTGGGTGGGAGATGAGATGGGGCTCCCTTCAGAACTCTGGGGAACCTTATTCTGTTTGGAGATCGGGGGAGCAGGAGCAGCTGGGCCTTGGACAGTCTCTTCCTTGGTGAGGGAAGGGGTGAGGCTGCCCGCAATACCCTGGACAATCTCTTTTTGGATACTGGGGCTGCCTTCGGGGCCCTGGACAACCTTGGTTGAGGGGGATGAGGCAGCAGGAGCACCGGGGCCTTGCACTACCTCTTTCTGGGTGTGGGAGAAGACAGGGACATTTTTAGAGTCCTGAACAAACTTATTCCTTGGGAAGGATGGAACGGAAAGACCTCCTGGGCTGGGGACAGCATCCCTTCTTGTAGAGGATAGAGCAAGAGGTTGTCCAGGGACTTTCACACCCTCGCTCTTCACCATGGGCAGGACAGTGGCAGCAGGGGGGTCTGTGAGCCCTTCCCTTTCTACAGGCGGCAGGACATGGGGAGTGAGCTGGGCCCTGGGGTGAGGGGGCACCACAGGCTGCTCTGGGGGGTGGGCTGGGTCCATGGAAGGGACGTGGGTCTGGAGTCTGAGAGAGGAGGGGTCTGGTGCTTGGCCCTGACAAGCCAGGAGAGGGAGCTGAGTGGGGCTGGAGGCTCTCTGCACCCTCAGGTGCTCATAGGCCCTGGCATCCAGGGCTTTGCCCTGGTTTTGGTCTGGGTGAGCTATAGGGACGTCCTGGTTCTGAGGTGGGTGACCATCTGCTGGGATACCTGTAGGGGCCAGGGCAGAGGCGTCCTTTAACTCTTCTGTCTTTGTCTCCGATGGCTGCCTCAGGGCTACCCCCACTGTGCTGCCCACACCCGGGGTCCTTGGCGCAACAGCCACAGGCCTAGGCGGGTGGCTGGCAGGTGGGTTGTGCTCAGCAGGCACAAGGCTGGTTAGCAATTCCAGGGCCTGGCTGCGGCTGGACGAGCCCTCAGCCCGGGGGCTCACCACCACTGCCCGCACCGTGCGGGCAACGTTGCGGCCCCTTGGCAATCCCTCACCTGGAACTGATGGTCCCACAGTCACAGAGCTGCTCACCCGCTTGTCCACGTTCCCTCCCACCACCACGGTGGTCCGCACCGTGCGTGTCACCCGCCGTTCCTCAAGGCTCCGGGAGCTCCCACTGGTGAGACCCACACCTGGGTGGGGGCTTGGCTCGCGGGGCCCAGACAGAGGCACTAAGAACTCAGTCCTGGCCATAGCTCCCAAGCCCAGGGGCTCGGTCCTGGGAGGTTGGGGGCTGCCATCACCCTGGTCCATGGCCTCCTTCAGCCTCCTCACTGGCCTTTTCTCCTTGGCAGGTGGTATGTACTTCTTGGAAAAGATGGGCCCATGGCTCTGGAAGTTCTTGGAGCCAACTCCATCCCGAGGGCCCTGGTAACTCCCAGTCTCTTCTTCCCGTGTAGCAAAGCCATTGACTTCGCTGTGATGGTGGCTGTACTCAAACATCTCCTCCCGGGGAGCTTCCATCTGGGCCCCTGACACCAGGGACACCTTGTGAAAACGGTGTCTGATCTCTTTCTGGGCAGGGGGCTGCTGCCGCCATGTCAGCGTGGCACTTAACACTTGGGCCTCAGCCCGGGCTGGGGGCCCACCTTCCTCTTCCATGTTGGGCCCTGGAGACCTGTCCTGTGGCATCCTTGCCTCACTGTGGTCCAGCTCCCTGCAGATGGTGCCAAGAAGAAGAAAGATGAGGGTCAGAGGGTGGCCAGAATGGTTTCCCAAAGTGCAGAATAACCACCCCTGCCACTGTCAGGCTGGGTAACTCAGGCAAGTCACTTGACCTTTTGGGTCCTTGTTTTCTTATCCGTAAAATGGGCAGGATCCTTGCATCCAGCCCCCTCCCCATTTTCGGGTGATCTCCTATGCCAGGGTCCTCCAAAGGGTGAAGCTGAGGCCTGTGCCTGAAAGGACAGCGAAGGGAGGAAGCGAGAAGAAAGGTGCATCTGGCCCACCCATCGTGGAGGGGCTGGGACTGCGCCCCGAGGAGCACTGGGTCTGCTCCTCCAGGAGCCGAAAACTAGGAAACTGGAAGGCTGAAAACTGGGCCAGTGTCGTTCTAACCCCGTTCCTGACTGTTAAAAGGGAAGAAAGGAAAGATGGCCTTTGGTCTCAAGCAGAGCTGGGGTCCCCCAGGCCTGTCGCTCACTAGCTGGGTGACCTTGAGCAGGCCACTTCTCCCCTTCAAGCCTCAGGGTCCTCAGCCGCAAACCCGAAGTAATGACTGTGTGCTTCACAGGGCCATGCCAGGGTCCAGTAAGAGAGAAAGAATGAAAACTGACTTTATAAACTAAAACCCTGGCTCATAAACTTCCTGCTGTCACCTTGGAGATTTGTGACCAAATTTTAGCTGGTGTGCACACACGTGTACTAGCATGAGCACGTGGTGATGACAGTCAGAGCGTGGGGCAAGTCTGTGTGCATGTGTAAGTCTAAACAGAGCTCCTCAGGACACGGCATTTTGGGCTTTACAAATGCACTTTCCCCTCAATTCTCTCCATGGACTGTTATTTCTCCCATGGAACAGATGAAGAAACTGAGGATCAGAGAAGAGGAGTGACCAGCTCAGGATGATGCAGCTATGCAGTTGCCAAGGTAGGGTTTGAATTCCTGCCTTCTAAGTTCACATCCAGGCATCCTCCCTCCTACCCTCTAGGCCAAGGTTCTGGGCACATCCTGCTACTCCTCTGACGATCAGTAAAGCACATCTCACCCTCACTCCTGGAAGGGTGAGGCCTGGGTCTTATTTTTTTTCTGACCCTCCCTTGATCTCTGGGTCCCCATAACCTTCTTTACTAAATGGGGATAATACTAATACCTGCCTAAGAAGCCCTCTAAGCTCCTGCTTTGGTTTGAATACCTGCCCCTCCAAAACTCATGTTGAAATTTAATCCCCAGTGTGGCAGTACTGAGAGGTGGGGCCTTTAAGAGGCCACTGGGTTATGAGGGCTCTGCACTCATGAATAGATTAATTGCCTCATGGATTAATGGATTAGTGAGTTAATGTGATCATGGGAGTGGCTTTAGAAGAAGGGAAAGGGAGACCTGAGCTAGCACCGCAACCCCTTGCCCTGTGATGCCCTGCACCACCTCAGGACTCTGCAGAGACCCACCAGCAAGAAGGCCCTCACCAGATGCACCCCCTTGACCTTGGACTTCCCAACCTCCAGAACTGGAAGAAATCAATTCTGTTGCTTATAAATTATCCAGTTTCAGGTATTCTGTTATTAGCAACAGGAAACAGACTAAGACAACTCCCTAAGAACTTGCTGGTAAATTTCTCTGTTTTAATCGTTGCAATAACAGCCATTTATTGAGAGTTTACTCTGCCAAACACCTTGCTAAGTGCTTTATGTTCAGTGTCCTGTTGAATTCTCAGAAGAATCCCATGACCTTGAGACCTCATAAAGAATAAATTATTAACACATTATAAACAAACATTTCCATTTTGCAGATGAGATTTTAAAAATGCTCAGAGAGGTTAAGAAATTTGCCCAGAGTCACACAGTAGCAGAGTCAAGACTTGAACCCCAGGCCAGGCGCGGTTGCTCACACCTGTAATCCCCTAGCACTCTGGGAGGCTGAGGCAGCCGGATCGTTTGAGCTCAGGAGTTCGAGACCAGCCTGAGTAAGAGGGAGACTCTGTCTCTACTAAAAATAGAAAGAAATTAGGTGGACAACTAAAAATATGCAGAAAAAATTAGCCGGGCATGGTGGCGCATGCCTGTAGTCCCAGCTACTCAGGAGGCTGAGGCAGGAGGATCGCTTGAGCCCAGGAGTTTGAGGTTGCTGTGAGCTGGGCTGACTCCGTGACACTCTAGCCTGGGCAACAGAGTGAGACTCTGTCTAAAAAATAAAAAAATAAAAAAGACTTGAGCCCCAACCCTTCCAAACACCTTAATGTATTTATCTGATAAACTGAGTCTCTTTGGTTTGCGGGTTTACTTTTAAAGGAAGCCACGTCAGTCCTGGAGGAGCTATCCACCCCACTCCGGACTGCACTGATCAAGGCAATCCTATTCTCAGACCCCAAGGACCCCAGAGAGATCAGCCTCTTCAGTCCCAGTCTCACTGCTGGCCTGTCTTCAGCTCTGTTCCTCCTCTCCATGAGGCAGCCCCCAAAACCCCCACCCTAGCCAGAAATGGACCCACTGCCACAACTCCCCTCCCCCCTCTCCATCTCCCTCCCTCCTGAGGAGCTGGTGAAATCCAGAACTTTGACCCTACCCTATGGCCCAGCCATGACTCAGGTTTTATGAGGGGCAGAGATGAAAAGGACTGAGGCCCAGGGAAGCCTGACCTGACTCCAGGACCACTGGTGGCTATGACAGCATCTGGGACAGGGTCTGGGGGGCCCCGGAAGGTGGGGGCTTAGATAAGTTCCCATTCCCTCAGGCCAGAGCTTCCTGAGAGCAAGGCACAGCCAGACGCCCAATGCCCTGGATTTTAGCCCTTCACCGAGGCCCCAACCACCTCCCCGTCCTCATTAAGGACGGAGCCCCCCTTTCCCAATGGAACCGCCCTCCTCCTTACTGGGACTCCCCCACGTGGAGCCTGACCCCTTTGCTGAGTCCCCCAAGTCCCTGTCCTCCCCATTGAGTCTCTCTCCATTTCTGAATAATAGTAACAGCCACCTACCCTTCCCTGAGACTCCTTGTCCCTGATGGTGCTGATAGTAACTCATTCATTCATTCATTCATTCACTCGTTCAGTGCTAATTGTGTCAGGTGATGTGCTAGGTCCTGGCTAAACTCATCCAAAGCCAACTTTCTCATGAAGGTGGTATCCTAGGAGTCCAGAGATCAAAGAATTAGATGCAAAAGCAGGAACAACATTTGGGAGGCCCAATAGGCTTTGGCAAGGCAACAGGAGAGCAGCTTTAAAGGAAGCCGTTGATAATCAGATGAGATATTGTCAATGACCTTCCAACAATCAGAATTCGGTGCCTTTCCCAACCCAACCCAAACCCTGGACAACACCCCTGACAGTTACTCATTCCACAAGCATGTGGTCATTGGCTTCTTCTTGCATACCTCTAGGGCCAGGGAGGTCACCACTTGACAGTTCACCTGCCCCATCCCTGGACAGTCATGACTGCTAGAATGTTCTCCAAATTATGCTGGAATGCGCCTGCCTATAGCTCCCCCCTTTTGTCCTTGCTCTGAAGACATACCCCAATGACCCAGGCTGCCTCTCCTGGGCCAGCAGAAGGACTCATTCCCAGAGCCCTTTCTTTTCCGGGGCCCCAGACCAGAAGCAGATTTGTTGGCAGGGTGACCTGTGAACTCCAAACAAGGTGTGTGGAGCTGAGAAGGGAGAGGCTGAGTAGGGGGCGGGGGGAGTGTGGGAAAGAGCCTTGTCTAACCCAACAAGTCCTGGATTCTCCCGCCTTACCTGTGAGTCACCCCCAAACTAGGCCAAACCAGTCCACAGGCCCACATGCCGGCAAACACATGCCGCGTCACACAGGCACACGCACCGACTCAGACAGACACCAACGCAGACCCACAGAGTTACACAGGCACGAAAATACATCCAGATGCCTTCATGAACACACAAAATCAGAGACACACAGACACACACAAACGCACACGCAGACACTCACCAAGAAACACAAACATACAGTCACAGAGTTACAAACACAGAAGCTCAGAGATACAACAGATATCCAAGTCACGTACACGCACAGAGAAACACACAGACACAGTGACACACATGTGCACACAGTCAATTCACAGCCACAAGCTCTCCTCCCCCTAAAATTCACCCACACCTGAACATGGGCACACACACTTGGATGCACCCTTATCTTACACATTCCCACTTGCGGCCCCCGCTGTGTCTTGCCCCTGCCCCACATTTGCCAGTCCTGGCCCAGAGATCCCTTCCCCACATACAAAAGTAAGTCGAGTCAACTGCCTCCCTCTCTAAGTGAGCCCTAGCCTCCCACCCTGTCATTATCCACCTGGGCCCAAAATAGCCAGGAAGTGGCAGATAGAACCCCGAGTCCCCCCAGCTAACCCTACTACTCTTCCCCTTCCCCCCTCCAGGGTCAGCCTCCTCCACCCTCCTTCCCTCTCTCTGCAGCGCTTCCCCCCCATCCTCCCACCCCCTGCTGGGGCATCCATGCGGGTCTCAGAGCCAGCCTGGGTCCCACATCTCCCTCTTTTTGGTCATAGGACAAACACATTGCACCCCTGCCCAGAGGACCCAGGAATCCCTGATTCTGACTCTGCCTCTCCTAGTATAATGTCCCCATATCCACCGCCATGGGATCCCAGAAAACTCTGGAGTCCAAACAGCAACCTTGCTCAGCCCTCCGCTCTCTGCATGGGGCCAAAGAGGTCTCTTTGCGGGGCAGGCTGCGCAGTGCTTAGAGCACAGGCACTGGAGGTATAGAAACCTCAGTTCAAATTCTGGCTCCTTCACTTTCAAGTTGACTGGGCAACTGACTTAACCTTTCTGAGCCTTAGTTCCCTACTGTAATTAGGTGGCGGGGTGTGGGATTCATGGGACTGTTGTGTGGATTAAATAAAGTCATGCTTAGAAAACAAAATGTAAGTGACAGCCACCCCATTATCATTGGAAGCCTTCAAAACCCCCCGCCT